TAATATGAGAAAAGCAATAATAAGCATAAACGGAAAAACAAAGTGCAACGTAAATTAAATTTAACTTAATAAAAACTGCGAAAATTTGAGGTAGAGCAGGATTATCAAAAGGATATACAAAAAACCTATGCCAAACAAGATAGTATGTATTTATAAAGTCAGTTGAAACACCCAAAAACCTGCTTGCCGACAAACAATAAAAGAATAATATCATATTACCCGACATGGGCGCATCATTTATTTTTATAATCAAATATATATTAATGTAGAACAGAAAAAGGACAATTTTAATTTACTTAAAGCTGTCGTAAAGTATATAAGTGTATAAAAAATTTTTTAACATGTCATATTAAGCAACAAAAATAATTTGTAATTAAATGGCAATAGGCTATATTGACACTATAAAGATTTAATTAAACTTCGTAAAATAATAAAGATTTTTGCTGTACAGCACTGGCATGCATCGGCAGCGTTTCTTATCTGTACCCTTCGCCACCGGCTAGAAGGGGACCTCCAAGTAGCGTGTTAAATATTGGTGATTTTGAATAACATATCAATGTCCAATATTTATTTGATGGGACGTATCTTTCATTCGCTCTTTCTTCCATCTATTTCCTACGAAGTACGGGGATTGTTCAAATACGTTTGAAAGATTGACGCGTGTTATTTATATTTTAACTTGATTACCGGTAAATGTTATATTGAACTGCCCTTATAAATCGAGACGGAGAGAAATGTTTCAACTGACTTTATAAATACTATACTACTGTGAGTAACATACAACAAAAGTTCTTGAAAATGACAAACACTAAAAGAAGCAACGTCGAGGAACATAACAATAACTTCCATAACATAACAATACATAACAATAACATAACATAACAATAACTTCCATAACATAACAATAACTTCCATAAAAGATTTAGAATAAACCACTGGTTCGATAACGAATGTAGAACAGAGAAAAAAAAGATCAGATTTGAAATTAAAAAAAATTACGATCGCAAAAACAAGACGACCTAGAAAGGTATGCTGAACAACGAAAAAAAGTAAAGAGTATCTTAAGGGAGCGGAAACAAAAGTATATGGATGATAAAATAAAGCGCATTGAAGAAAATTACAAGAAAAATATACTAAAAAATTGTTACAAAGAGGTGAAATACATTAAAATTGGGTACCAGGTAAGAACGATGAATGTAAAAGATAATCAAGGAAACCTAATAGTGGACGGAGAACAAATATGTGAAAGGTGGAAAGAATATTTCGAGGTGATGCTAAATGACGGAGTGATTACTGAAGAAAATTGTTATGTTCCTAAACCCACAAGAGAAGAAATTGAAGAAATAATAAAAGATATGAAAAATCAAACAAGCCCTGGGAAGAGCGGCATTGTGGTAGAGAACATAAAATATGAAGGAGAGGCCTTTATAAACCAACTTCGTGAGCTAATACTAGAAGTATGGGATGCCGAAGAAATACCTCAAGAATAGAATATGTCGATTATAATAATTCTTAGACACAAAAAGGGAGATAGAACTGTATGCGCAAATTATATAAGAATATCCTTATTAGAGATAATATATAAAATACTCGCCATACTAATTAAAAAACGATTAAAAATATATACAAAAAAGAATCTAGAAGAATACCAGAAAGGATTTCGGAAAGGAAGATCAACAACAATTATTTATGCTAAAAGAAATCCTGATCAGTTGCTATGTATACAACATTTCAGCACAAGTAATTTTCATTGATTACAAAGCTGCCTACGATACAATAGACAGAAACAAATTAATAGAAACACTAAAAGAATACCAAGTATCAAAAAAAATAATAAGATTGGTAAAAATGACAATTAAACAAACCATTTGTGCTGTGAGATGCAACGGTACAGTCTCAGAAGAATTTGAAGTGAAAAAAGCTGTTCGCCAAGAAGACACGTTGTCTACATTGCTATTTAATATAGTTCTAAAAAAATGTAAGGGTTAGCGGGATAAATAGGTCCGGAACTATTTTGTACAAGGAGCAACAAGGAGCGGCGTTACTCAGTAAACAAAACTTTAAATGTGATACAAAATATTGATTGGCCATAGGTAATTTATTAAGTTTTTTACGTGACAGTTTTCTCCTAATAAATCTGGTAGAGTATTTGGTATACTGTTTATTAAACGTTCTCTATGGTATTTTGGACACTCAATTAACCAATGGACGACGGTAAGAGGCGTAGCACATAGGTCGCACAGGGGGCGTTCACTGGCCGAAAGTAAATATGAGCGTGTGATCTTAGTGTGTCCTATACGTAGGCGCGTTAGAACCGTTTGAATAAACCGTGTACTAGCATTAGTTTTCCTCTGTCGTGTATCTGGTTTTAGCGATCTTTATTTAGATTGCGATAGAAACCAGTCGCGCTGCCAATGACCAATCACTTTTTGTTTAAAAAACGTTTTGACATCTTTACATACACTCTCACGCACTAATTCAGATTCGACATTTGTTGCTGCATCACGAGCACTACTGTCTGCCTCTTCATTGCCGATACATCCTATATGCGCGGGGATCCATATAAATTTAGGGGTGATGTGGTTCTCTTGGGCGATTTGTAGTTTAGTTTTTATTAGTTGCTCCAGCGGCTGTTTAGGATACAGATGCTGTATTGCAAGAATAGAGCGAAACGAGTCAGTTTTATTCTTTTATTGATTTTTAGAAGTAGGGAGATTTATGTATTAGTTTATTGTTCCAGATATACATACTCGTCTACTGTCTCAAGTGCCGTGTTATGTATTATTACATCTTGGATATCTACTAGCTCGTTGTACATGGTGTATATTTTTGTCAAGTTCATTTTTATGCCAACTTCGTTGCTAGCTGCATTTAAATCGTTTATAAGTTGTTGCAGTTCTCCAGGATTACTAGCAACAAGAATGATGTCGCCTGCAAATTTTAGATGACTGAGATATTGTGCATCAATCGATATTCCTTTGTTCTGCCAGTTTATTTTGCTAAATGTATATTCTAGAGTTACAGTAAAGAGCATTGGTGATATTGTGTCTCCTTGTCGGACGCCTCTGGTAGTGGAAAATTGTTTAGTGTTTTCATAAATTTTTATCTTAGTTTATGCTTGTCTGCATATATTTAAAGTTTCTATGTCTGATTTGTCAATGATTTGCTTGGTCAAAGCTTCTATTACTACTTTTTGATATATATAATTAAAAGCCTCGAAATCCTTTAAGGTTAAAGCTAGTAGTATTTCATATTATTTCACTCTACACATTAGTTCTCGAAGCGTGTGGATATAATCCATGGTAGTAAAACCACTTCACAAGCCAGCTTGCTCTCTTGGCTTAACAGCATATAATGTATTTGGTAATCTGTTGTTGATGATTTTTGTGAATATCTTGTATATGATTGGAAGTACACTTATAGGTCTGTAGTTTTTTATATCCGCTTTGCTACCTTTCTTATAAATTAATAATATGTTTGCTGTATTCCAGTTATCTGCTATGTATATTGATCTTAGGCGGTTCGTAAATAATATGCCTGCTGAAGATTTTTCAGGTTTTTTTGTCGGTTTTTCAGCGTATTTAAGCAGATCCACCGTTATGCCAGCTGCTTTATCCCTTTTCATTTTTGTAATTGTCGATTCTGCTTCTTTCAAAACTCATGTCATTTATTTAAACCACCTTCATTATTATCAATAATTAAATTAGATATTTAAGAAACAGTATGATGTATAGATTTCTTTGTAGAAAGTAAAATTTTGGAAAATAATTATTTATTTTAAATTGTTTAAACAAATTACTCCCTTAAATAAAGCATTACCATATTACCTAATTGTAATTTTATAATTTATACCTCGAGTTATCCCGAATTTATAAAAAAAAAACATCAATATTTATTGATTACAACCAGAGATATTGCGATTTTTATAAATTTGAAATTATGAATTCAGTTTTGGAAATATTAAAATCGAGAGGGTACAAATCGTTACGCTTTTAAACTCATTTTTTTTTTCTTTCATTTCTTAATCTTTATAAACAAAGCCTCAGTTAAATTAAAAAAAGACTAATTCCGGTTCTTAAGTTTTGACGGACATTGTATTTTTGTTAAATTCGAATAAAGACGCCAAACTTTGGAATAAAAAAATTGACTTCCCACATGTTGGTGCGTCTATACGATGATGAGTTATTTTAGATGTTTATGAGTAATCACAGTAGTTTTGTATAATTATTTAACAATTTTTAATACAAACTTTTTTATGATTAAATGATTTAATTTGATCATTTAAGCCTCTCTCTTCAATTTGATGCTTACAGAGTTATATAGATCAAGTAGTTTTCGCATAGTAAAGTAGATAAAAGATTTCCGAGATAAATTTCAATTTCGCAATAACTGTTAATCGGAACTGCTTGAAATTTTATAGCTGAATATTACTGATATTGTCCTAATCTGATGTGAAATTAAAGTTTTTTGGAGGTTTTTGAAAAAGCTTTTTAATAATTTTTAAAAAATCGACATTTAAAGCTATTTTTGAAATCATTGAGCAACCAATTTACAAAAATAAATTTATAAACCCTTATTTTAAATGATTTTTTATGCTTTTTCAGGAAAATTATGCCATTTTTCCATATAATTTACCAGACTTCATCTTAAGTATTTAAACTCAAATAGCAATCGTAGATTTTTATATTTTCTAGATAAATAAAAATAATATTTAAACTATTCAATATTTTGTGTATTAATAAATAATATTATTTATTATTATAAAATATTAATAAATAATAATTTTAATACAAAATCTATTAAAACGAATTTTAAGATACATGTCATTGTATCAAAGAGTGTCTGGGAAAATCGTCATCTCCCTGGTCTAATCTGCAGACAGCTCCAAGATTAGCTCCAAAAATTTTTTTTAATTGAAAATTGCTATGATATTGCTATGTTTATTAATTCAGATAACAATAATAGATCACTCAAATAAACTAAAAACAATTTTTACTTACTTAAAATTGTTGCTCCTATAAACAGACTTAACGTCACAGCACAAAAAGTCGAACATCTCTGCAAAAAAGATTTTTTATCAATTTTATTTTACTAGACCAATAAATATTATATAAAATAATTGTTCAGTTTACTTTAATTTTTTTATGAAGAAGACATAAATATATTCTGGTAACCTTATATATTTTTTTTAACAAAAATCAATATTTTTAGAATAAAATTAAAAGTGCTACCGATTTTGGAAAACTAGAGTGTGTCTCACCTAACTTTTATATTTTTTCAAAATTTCTGATATAAAACGAGGTAAAATTCTAATAAAAACACTCAAGTATTTTAAAACAATATTGCTTTTTCAATATAGCTTATTCAGTAAACTAATTAATGATTAAACTAATTAACAAAAAATATATATAAATCAAGAACGATATGAAATCATGAAACCCAAATACACCTAGAAGCAAAAGACACTATTAGATGGGAAAATGACCAGATAAATTATAGAAACAGAAAACCATATTGCTAGAAAACAAAGATAACCAAAATCTACTAATCAGAGAAGGGCAAATAGATAGTAGAGAATACAGTAGCCAAACGTTTAAAATAAAAAAGAAATAAAGATCAGAAAACACCAATTTTGGCAAATGAAAAATGTTAAAGATATTTATTGTATTTTTTTCTAATATTTTCTGTAAAAATAAAACATAAATCGTGACGTAAATATGAAAACTAAGTAAAAATATTTTTGCCTAAATTGAGTCTTTATTTCACCGCTACTTTTCATAGAAAACTAAACATAGTAAATGTCTAAATATCATCATAGATGATGCAATTATATACAAAATAGACATATCGCGAATATACCTTCTTCTCATTCTCAGCTAATTCTAAAACTCAAATTCATTGCACAGATGACTGGTGACTCTTACGTTCAAAACATCCTGCAAGACCATGCTTTGCAATATGTTAGTTACATTGGATATGACAAATTCAAGTTATTGCACTGCTATAGTAAGTAATTATCTAGATGAGGTCCAAATTAAAAGATTGGATTAGCCACCCTTTATTCCAGATTTAAAACCAGTAGAGCACATGTGGAAGCACCTGTGCGTCCACATGTGCTCAAAATATCGCACACGACAAAGAAATCCTGTTCCAAATACGATAGACAACTTCGGTTTGCTGCACAGGATGAATAAAATGCAGATTCCTAAATTCTGGTTTAAGTAATTTAAGTGTTGAGTAAAATAATCTTATTTACCTAATATTCAGCATTATTTTTTTCTCCATTTTCCTAGCATAAAAACGTAAAATTGTTTATTAAATATTGGTAAAATAAACTCTTCTTCACAATAAACGACTTGATTGACCAGAATTTATTTTTAAAAAACAAAAATTTGGAAATTCCAAAATATTCGAATTTTTTGGAATTTTTACATTTTTCTTGTGCGTCTAAACTAATACCTCCCCAAAACAGTATGCCACTACCTCCAAATCTAACAATCTGGGCAAGATTACAGGTGGCGAATCGTTCTCCAACTCTTGTGTAGACGTGATTTGGCAATCCGGCTTATATACCAGGATTCTGGTCTCATCAGTGAACATTTTTCCAGTTGTCGATATTCCAGTAAATATGTATTTTTGCAAATTCTAAACAACAAGTTTCATGATTTTGGAGAAGACGTGGAACTTTTGCAAAGCGCCTAGGCTTTAAGTTTGCTTCTTTTAATTTCGTCTAACTATTTTGGAACTCGCATTAACTTGTCTGATATTTAGTAGCTCATTTCTGTGATGCATCGATGTAAATGAGCGATTTCTTGTAGAATTAAGAACCAAACAATGGTCATCAATTGCGGTTGTGCACCTTGGACGCCCTTGACCAGGCCTTCGTAAAAAATTGCGTCTCATGGTACCTTTTTAAAATATTCGAAACTGTAGATTAACTTTTCCTGAGATGCCATGCGGTATTTTTTTGTGTATACCCTTCCTTGTACAATATTACAATCTGTGCTGCTTGGGTTTCATTGCAGTATCAAATCGATGGCATATTTGTTTTAAACTTAATTGAATCAAAACAATATTTAATTAAACTTAATGAATTGAACTAAAAATAACCAAATTACTGTGGTTTTTCCTTTACGCGAAGAAGGTTTTTTATGATAAAATGTACGAAAGACACGAAACGCTGAATAAACGTCAAAGTATTTCAAACCAATTGAGAACATCAGCCTACTATATGAGTAAAATCAGTAACCTAAAATTATTTTGAAATAATAGTGACTACAAAAAAGAATTGAAAAATTTCAAACTACTCGATAATTTTGCCCATGGGTTTATATATATATATATATAATATATATATATATATATATATATATATATATATATATATATATATATATATATATATATAAGAAAAAAGAAGTACTTGTGACTCGTTTGGAAAAAATATAACACTGTTTTTTATGGGTTGGAGTCAATAAAAACTCCAACCCATCAAAAACAGTGTTATATATATATATATATATATATATATATATATATATATATATATATTTATATTTATATTATTTATAAAACCTTGAAGTAAAAATTAAAAGTTTATCTAGTCAACACTTACTTACATTATTATTTTCTCTTAAGAACTGATTTTCAAATATATAGATATTGGAACAATAAGTAAAGTTTTCATAATAAGGCCAGTTTTTCTTAAAAAATTGAAGCAGTAGTTTGGTGTTGAATGAATCCCTACACCTGATTTTGTAAAAAAATATTCCGGGTAAGCTCAGCATTGAGAGAAAGTTGTCTTTATTCCACTTCGTTACTTTCTTCTTCTGAATCACTGTTCTGCACATTGATAATAATTTTATTCATAACAGGAATGTTTTAACAGATTCTTTTTCGATATTTTTTCCGTGCTTTATTGCTTTCTTCCAGTTATCCTCAAAGATATTTTTAAATTCAGATTCTATTAGTTTCATGACATTGTTATAACATTTCGGACTTACATTTTCTCACATTATATTTCAGTTGAGACCATAACAACTCGATTGGATTTAATACGCAGTAATATGGTAGTAGTCTTAAAGTTGTAGGTCCATTTTTACTTACTACATCATTAATAATATATTCCTTTACAAATAATTTTATATCAAGTACCTCTACTAATTGGTCTTTAGTGTACCAATCTTCAAAATATAAATATTGTGATAATAAAAAATCTTGCAATTCATCCTTTCTAGAGTAATTACTCGGATTTTTTTTTTAAATTGTCTAGAATGATATGATGCATATATAAAACAATAACACTGTTGTCTGCTAAATTTGGTAATAAGTTATTTTTAAATCACGATTCGAAAAGTTCACCCGTAATATCTTGATGATAGTACAAACAACTGTCTTTAATGTCTTTTGCACTTATTCGTTTGCCCCTGGAAGCTGGTACATTAACTTTGCACTTTACATTGTCATTACTCCAACCTTTGCCAATTGTTTCGTTAGTGTCAAACCACGTTTCATCGAAGTAATAAATTTTTTTCCCGCTATTTCTCTACTCGGTTATCTTTTCCAAATATTCATTACGCCATTTTTTGAACGGGCACTTTCCATTATAGTATGTCGTTGATTGATTATTTTATATTTAAAACCATTTAATAGTAAAAATTTTCTTAATGTAGATTTACAGCAATTAATAATATTTTAAGATTTTAATTCAGCTAAAATTTGGTTAAGTGTGGGTATAATATTATCTGCAAACATATTATAAATGGTTTCTGAAATGGGACCAAAAAGATGTTGCTCAATAGATCGATGTAGTCCAAAGTCGCTCCTTTTTTGTCTATTTGTAATGCCCTCCTTTATAATTCGATATACAGTAGCACATGAAACTTTTGTTAAAGCCGCAGTTTTTAAAACCCTCTCGTGCCGTTAGAATTCTTCCCAAAATCCATTAAACACATTTAACACAATTTCTTTAGTGTCTTTCGATAAATGTTTTTTTCTGGCTTTTTAATATTTCCTCTACTTGGTCCAGCAATATTTTCAGGATTATTTGGTGGTAGAATTTTCTCATTTTCTTCAACAATTTCTACTTTATTATTCTCAACAATTTCTATTGCACTATTCACCCATGAACGCCACATTTTTATTTACTTAATATTTTTCTGATCGCGAAATCGTCACTAATAAATGCTCTCTTTTAAAAGTTTAAACCACATCAAAGCCACATCAGGCTTATTATCAGTCGTTCAGAATTTAGTGGAAATTTAAAAACCTTGATCAGAACAGCAGGGCTATGAAAAGAATTCGACAATCGAGTAAGAGGAGTCTCAAACTCAAAAACTTTTATTGAAAGGTATAAATAGGGGCTTACATCGGCAACTTTTAGTAGTAGCGTGAATAAAAACATTATTGTAATTAAAGATAAAAATATTATTTTGATTAAATAGACCTAACAGTTATAATTATTTAAATATAATATATTTATAATTGTACCTAATAAAATTATATTCTACAGTAATTCTTTTTGCATTTTTCTGAATACTACCTATAACCTGTAACAAGGCAAAATACTTAAGAGGAACTATTGAAACAGATGTCATTTGATCTAAGCACATGGATATATTTTGTTCGATGCCACTTGTACATCAATTGGTCTATCTTTTTAAATTTGTCAATTATCTGTAACCGAGATTTATACATGTAGAAATACCATCATAGCGGGAAATCTCACTATCAATGCAATAAAGGAGGATATCGCTAACTAAAACCAAAGATATGCCCAAAAACTGAGAAAATATCCCAATATTCTGGCCCAGAACTTTCAGCAGGTAAAACAGCATATGGACAACATTGACTCAAGCAAAATTCCCTAACTGATTTTTCAATGAGATTCTAGTTAATACATTCCCGAATCATAATTAAGAGATTAGATGAAGGCATAAGTAATACACAAAGGGGATTTAGGAAAGGACTGGGAACACGAGATGCACTGTTTGCAGTAAGTGTTCTTTCGCAGAGATGCTTAGATATTAATCGGGAAGTATATGCCTGTTTCATTGATT